TGCGCTTAGATGGCGGCAGAACTAAGTTTCTCCAAATCGAATTCCAAATAGGATTACCTCGAGTAGGGTCCAAACAAGGATCAAAGAGGAATAAAAGTAGAAAAGGTAGTAATTTAACAGGTTGAGCATTGAAAAGTGCTGATTAAATTAGTTGTAGCTTTAGATAGCAGTAACACTTCCTTCAGCAATAAGTAAATAGATCCGCACGGCAAAAGAGCACGATGCGGACTGTTATTTATTTAGTAATTTATTCATATTAGATGACAATATTGAAATATACAATTTTGCTGAAGACACTAGCCATTTCTGTTGACTTCAATGGAGTCCGCGTTTTTTTTTTTTATTTACTCGTTTTATCACGCGGTTTTCGTTAGCCCCCTCCCCCCTTTCATCACGTTTTTTATACCTAAAGGTTGTCCACGAAATTATTGCAGCATACAAAAATATCGACAAACAAAAGCCATTTATCAGAATCAAGAAAAACTGTGTTAGCTTTGATATATTAAGAAACTTTTTAACGTTTTACGGGTCTCATTTATTTACCATAAACAAATACATAAACTTTTCTCTTAATACCTTCCATTGCCTTTTGCACAGTGGTATCTGCCACTTCTTTCTCAGCTTTTTACCATTTTCTTTTCATGTCCACTTCATTTTTGGCAATACCAGGGTTCTTTCTCAGCTACTGCTTCATAATCGCCCAGTATTTTTCGATAGGTCGGAGTTCTGGGCAATTTAGCGGATTGTTGTCTTTGGGCACACAATTGACATCGTTCATTCGATATCATTCCAATACCGATTGTGCATAGTGGCACGAGGCTAAATGTGGCCAAAATACTGTTGAACCACCGTGTTGCTTCAAAAATGGAAGTCGACGTTTTTGGAGGCACTCATTTAGATAAATTTCTTGATTCACAGTTCCGGTTGTGACGAAAATATCACTTCGTTTTCCGCAACTACAGATTGCTTGCCAAATCACATTTTTTTGGCAATCTGCATTGCTTGTCACAAAATCTTACATCCTCCCCCCTTAGAGCGTGAAATAATACATACAACACTCCAAGGATTATTTTTATCATCATGATTAAAAGCTTTGAGAGTTATACCAAATTTGGAGTTTTTAAGCGAGTTAAAGGTTAGTAATTTTTTGCTCAGAAGTTGAATCAATTTGCGATCTTCGGCATAGTATTATAAAAATAAATCCCATGTTTCGTTCCATTTTCCATGCATTTTCCCATACAAACTTTATAGTTCTCATTCAAAGTGTTTATGTTACTTCATACGCGAAATTTGCGATTTTCAGAGTTGGTTGGAAATGCTATCTAACATGAAGCTTGAGAAGCTAACTGTGATAATTTATTAGCTAGAGAATGATCTTAGAAGAGGGTAGGTGGATAGTTCCGTTAGAGTAGGCAGTATACAAGACATACTTCAAATCTCCGCGTACATCCTACGGGCTAGGCAAAAGGTGTGTGTTTGACTTTGTACTGTCGCATTAATGGCCCTGCGCTCATTTTCAACTTCTATTCAATTTTCATACTGCCGTACTCTAACGGAACTATCCGCCTACCCTCCTCTAAGATCATTATCTAGCTAATAAATTATCACACTAAAGCTTCACGTTAGATATCATTTCCTACCAACCCTTTATAGTTTTCCTACAAATCTAGATCGCTATCAAATTCGTTCAAATTTGGTACAGTTATGGAGGGAGGGGGGGACTCAATACAGACCGAAAGAGCAGTGAGGAGCAGCAGATTATAATTGACCATACCCACTTGAACGACCCTAATAGCCATATTGAGATATACAACAAATACGGTATCAAGAAAGAAGCTTCTCCATTTAAAATTTCCTCATTCTAAACGGAGTATAAATCTAGAAACTGGCATGAACCATTGATCATAGAATTCGTCCGTTTTACCATTAACCATGTGTCCGCATCACGCCAACTAATCCGAAAAATTGCTCACTGCATCGTTAGCTAGCGAATATGTAAACAAATAAAACGCTCATTGCCTGCGCTGCGCTATTTACTCATACACACGTGTTCATTTCTAACTGAAAATTCATCAAAAACACGTTCTACAACCGTTCTGTACCGATGCCATATGACACGTGATTTTCTCTCAATTCATAAACTCGATACTATTTCGCTGAATAACTTTGACCCATGACAGACATTCATCAATTAAACCTAATAATGGAGATATTGGGAACACCGAACGAAGAATTCATGGCGAAAATATCCTCGGAAAGTGTGAGTAATAGCATTATATTCTCTTCCTTCTCCCAGCGTTCCAAAAAAAAATCACCTGTAATACCTAACCGATTCCTTCAACAGGCGTAGCACTGCTTTTTTTCTTTCTTAAGTTTGATATTAGGATACATTTAAATTCATTTTAAATCATCAACAAGTATGGTGCACAGCAGCTCTGCTCGGTATGAAGCTAATATAGATGTAGCAATACACATATTTCTTTTCTGTAATTGTTTACCTCCGCTATCTCACTTCACTTATTGCCACTTTTAACTGCGTTCTCTTTCTGCCTGATCAAATGCCTGCACGCTTCTACACTACGGCTATACTTGTATGTACTTTCAACATTCTTTCCTCCCCTTGGGGGTTGCTGTTTTTCCGAGCATATTTTTCTTGATCTGGTTTTCTCACTTGTCAGTCCATAAATGCAAAAACCGTCCGTAATGATCGTAATTGAGACATTAGTGCAACTTTTTTATGCGCGTCATAGAAATGCCTGGTTGAAGAATAAATCTAAACACGTATCTGGATGCATTTTAATGTATAATTAGGACAAATGTTTGACTATTTTTAAGCAATCCTTATTTTTTTATAAATCATGAATTGCATCAGACGAATCTGTACATAAACGCAGTTATGCGTTAGGATTTGGTCCATTAGACCTTTCGATGTAGGACAGATTGAGGAACATTATCATTTCTAGTATAATTGTTATTCAACACGTAACTGAGATCCAATTCAAATGTGACATAAATGATAAAACTACAATACCACTCACTTGACTTTGCAGCTACATATATGAAAGTTTTCCGCCACATAGTTCCGCTTCACACCAGCATAAATGTTTAAATGTTTAAAAACTAATCGTAATCGTGTAAGTAGAGCGACTATTCTTAAACCAAGTAGACTCGCGTGGATTGTGACTATCTGAAAGCGAATTTGAAAGTTTTTATGTGTCAAACACTTGCTTTCCTATCTCTACAAGTATCTAACAAGTACAAAATATCATTATAACATCTGAAGATTCCAAAATTCTTAAAATCATTTTTTTATAGCAAGTGAGTGGAAGCAAGCCTGTTCTTAACAACCTATTATTTCTGAGGTTCACTTCCAAAGAACCATAATACATAAGGTTAAAACTTTATCACACAAACGTTCATGTAAAGTTCCATAACCATTTCAGTTAAAGTTTAGCAGGGATTATAAACAAGTTTTAACCATTTTCGATAAGGTCTAGTTATGGTTCGCGTTTATGCGGGTATCTATGCTGATTGCTTGTGAGTGAATCTATAAAAAATCAGCGCTGTCGGGTTAAGAACCAGCAGAATAATCGCGGGGTGGTCGGTCACGCTCTTCAGGGGATTCGGATTCCCCTGTAGATAACCTCCTTTGCAGCTGTGTTTGTTTTCTTAAACTAGCTTACAACCCAGTAGAATCAGCAAATACCTAAAAAAGATTTCTGTGCCGAAACCCGGGATTGAACCGGGGACCTTTAGATCTTCAGTCTAACGCTCTCCCAACTGAGCTATTTCGGCATTTTGAATTTTTGTTGCTATGTACACTACACAAATTGGTTACTGTTCTAGAAATACATTTGAAAAAGGCTTTATTGATCAATTATATCATGTCGAATTCTCACGAACGTTTTTAACTTTTTACGAATGAAATTTGAATTTTGCCTTATTTTTTCGTGAGCAACACATTGAAAGCACAAAATCGTAATCGACTGTTCAACACTGCCACATAATATGCGATACTAAATAAAGTATCGCCCTAGTTTGGTTTTTAAGTTCATTGTTTCGCTTTTTTTTTATCTAGAACTAACTTTTAAATTCATATTACAACCAAATTGCTTCCACCACTTCGTCAATTTTGCAGCACAAATTTTGTTATGTAGATGTCTGAAAGGCCATTATCCACAAAATTGTACAAATAAGCCCATATGCACTCATAAAAAATTATGATCAAATTGCGATGTTTCTTCTCATCGTCTTGGTATCTTTCTGTGTACTAAATGTGCCAAGGACTGTTTAGGGTACTCTCCAGCAGTTTCAGATGCAATCATTTAAAATATTATCAGCATAATTAAAAATGTAGAACATCCTCCACACAAAAAAACCTACTTGCCGAAACCCGGGATTGAACCGGGGACCTTTAGATCTTCAGTCTAACGCTCTCCCAACTGAGCTATTTCGGCACTTATACTTTCTTTTCCAAACAGTCTTGAAATTATGTTGCACTACAAGATCATCACGGTGAAACACACTACTTGTTGCACATATAATTGTAATTGTTGCACAACAACACAACGTTTTTTTTTTTTTTTTTTCTTTATTAAAGAGATTTTCAGCCACAGGCTAGTTCATCTCTTAGTTAGAACAACACAACGATACATTGACACAAAATATGTATACTCGTATGACATTACTCAGTGAATTTATTCAGTTTGTCGATTAATGAAATAAAAAAAGCTAGATTTTACTTGATACTGCGGAAATTAAGCGGCTTAAGTGCACAAGTGGAAAAAACATGCTCAGAAATCTTTTATTTGGTATTCATTTATTTTTTTCTTAAATTCGTTACTAACTCATCAAAATTATCTGTGTTTCAAAATTTCAATAAAAAAAATTACCTTAACTCAGACCTTGTACGTTTTGGAACCTTTGACGCGCTACTTTCAACACTACGCGCCTTTTTAATATATCACTTGTAATTCATTAACGCACTGATCGTACATTAGATATCGATCATCTCACACGCATCATGTTCTTCTGCGGGACACCCGACGAGGAGCTGATGCAAAAGATAACAAGTGAGGAGGTATGTGAATGCAGTCATCCTCAGCAGTGCTACCATGGAATTCCCTTGCCTAAAATTTGCTTTTTAAGCGCACGTCTCACATCTAATCCATTTACCTTACAGGCTAGACACTACATCCGATCTTTGCCTAAAACGGAGAAACGCAGCTTTAGTGATGTATTCCGCGGTGCTAACCCCCTAGCGATTGACCTGCTGGAAAAAATGCTGGAACTAGATGCCGATAAGCGTGTCACAGCTGAGCAGGCACTAGCCCACCAGTAAGTATTGTGGAATTTAATCAAATATCAATTCATTGCAGTTAATACGGTTCTAATTTCAAGATATCTGGAAAAATACGCTGATCCTTCCGATGAACCCACATCGTCATTGTACGATCAAAGCTTTGAGGATATGGATCTACCAGTGGAAAAGTGGAAGGGTACGGTTGAGATTGGTTGACCATTTGTTCATTATGTAACTCAATAATCTCTTTTTAGAACTTGTGTTCCAAGAAGTGCTTAATTTTGTCCCTCAGCAACATGCGCACATCGGTGGTGAAGCACAGTAAACTCATAACTTCGACTGGTTTAAAGAAAAGCCATCATTAGAATGGAACGTTAAGTGAGAATACTTTTTTTTCAAATAGCTTCTAGATATTACTTAATATGTCTGCAAACTACCAGCGAACATCAATCCTATCAAATAAAGTTTTGAATACACCCAGCTAAGAGAACCTATACCAGCATACAATCTATACCTAGAATTTCTAGAAGAAGCTAAAAATAAAGACTCCAATCTATTGAAAGAGAGTGATTTGTGATGTGAGTAATAAACGACAATTAGTATTGAATGGCTTAATTGGCAGGGATTTATTTCTTAAATGCAAACGATGTTACATTACAAATTATGTATAAGATACGTTTTGTATGTAAAGATTGTATTTTCAAATTGGTTGTTACATATATTGTCAAATTTTCAATAAAAACGAAAATGCACAGTAAATATTACCTTCGTACTTGTTTTGCATGTTCATAAAAATACAGCCTTGATTATCTTTTTAATAATCAAATTTAGTACAGTCAACTCTCCCTACCTCGATGGACATCCAGGCTACTTCAACTATTTTGTCCATACAAATTTCCACAGTTTACCTCCATTTCCTCGCTAACTCAATGGTCCTTCAATATAGTTGAACATAACTACAGACAACTCTTCCTAACTTAATATTGAAGACACCATCAAGTTACGGAGGATACCGAGTTACGGAGGTAAATTTTTATGGGAAAAGTGATCGAAGTAGCTTGAATTTCCATAGAATTAAGGAGAATATCGAGAGAGATCGAGTTGACTGTATTACGTAGCTGTCAACCCCTCCAGATACATAATTGTGCTTCTTAAATCAATTCTCGACTATTGAAATACCAGTTAGTGAAGTCAAATCTCCCTTACTCGATCTATCTCCATACCTATTTTTACAGTTGCAATTAGGTACATATTTTCACTGTTAAGTCCAGAAGATGTCACCCCATTGATGCATGAACCGGTTCGCAGTATGAAGAATTCGATAAATTCTATTTATTTTTACATACATTGCTAAACTCCTATGACCAAAATGTCGATGTGCTTAGTTATTGGTATTTATACTTATGTACTCCAGTTTGAATTTTATCTATTTGCACACACCTCAAGCAGTGAGTGCTTTTATGCGCCCAACCGAGAAATACATGATTCATACACAATTGTATAAAAAGATTGCGAAATTTGTTATAAATCACTGCATGCATTGTTACGTTAATTCTAAAAATTAACATTAGCTGACTAAGTAACCAACAAGCCAATTGCCTTTTTGCGGAACCATCTTGTGGAAATAAAAATGTTTTTTTTTTAAACTATTTGTTTCAAATTCAAAATAAATTACATTTCATTTTAACCTAGGTGCTCCAGTTACTTGAAAATAAAAATGTTGAGTACTTAAAATGAAGGTCAAGCGAAAAAAAAAATATTCTGATTTGGTTTTGATGAAATCTCGAACTTTTCTTCGAATACCACTCATCATCTTTTGGACACTCTGCACTAACCTGAGCGACCGTTTTGTTCCACTCTTTATCTCTGTCGCATCCCGAGTCACCTTTCCACTCTTCTTCAGCTTCTGTTTGACAATTGCCCAATATTTCTCAATTGGGCGGAATTGAGGGCAGCTGGGTGGTTTGATGTCCTTTTCGAAGAAATCTACCCCGTACCACTGTAGAACTTCTCCGATGTAGTGGCAGCTTGCCAAATCAGGCAAAAACTTTACAGGTCCATTTTGAAGACCTTCCCTGTTTTTCGGAGCTTGCCCTTCATAATCGCCTAGAATTTTTCTATTGGGTGAAGTTCTGGCGACTTTGGCGGATTTGCCTCCTTCGGCACAAAAACAGCATCATTAGCTTCGTACCACTTCATCACCGGTTTCGGGTAATTGCACGATGCCAGATCCGGCCAAAACAGAGTGTCGACTTCGTGGGACCGGAGGAAGGACTTCAGGCGCTTCTGGAGGCATTCTTCTTTATATATTTGGCCGTTGATGGTGCCGGTCGTTACGTACGGCTTGCTGAATTTACCGCACCCACAGATCGCCTGCCACACTAATATGAACTTCTCCGGAACATCCAGGCGGGACTTGCCGTCGGAAAACTCCAGGCCGGGGATCTGCTTGACGTCCGCTTTAATGTACGTCTCGTGGTCCATTACGATGCATTTCGGCTGCACCAGCCACTCGCGGTACAGCTTCCTGGCGTGGGACAAAGCCACCGTATTCTGTTTATCGGTTCAGCTAGGCGCCTTCCTTACCTTGAAGACATGAAGTCCGGCTGGACGAATCAGACGGAAGAATTTACCTTCTTGGCCACGTCCCGAATCAAAAGATTCGGATTGCGCTTGAAGTAATCCCTCACCTTCCTTGCGTTCACGGGGTCGGTCGTATTCCACTGCCAGCTCGTCGCTGGGTCGTCTGAGTCTCCTTGAACGATTTTACCACACGGGACACTGTCGAATTGTCGATTACAAACTGTTTCGCGATCCACCTTTGGGCCTGGTCTGGATTTTCCACGACCGCTCCCATAATTTTTTGTCGAAGCACTTTTTGCTTGGAAGCCATCTCGATAACCACTTGGTAGATTGTGACGATATTTTTCACATGTAAACATTACACTCTAAACTAGTTTTATTCAAAATTTCATCAATAAATAGTTATACACAATAGACAGTGTTGCATTTTTTTTGGAGTACAATCTTTACCTTGCCAAATCATAAGCTTTCTTGCAAATTTATCGGCAAAAACGAATTTGAACTTGCTAGGGACATCACCTCGAGCAATGGCTTTATAGAACTTTTGTCCGGGAAGCTGCCCATAATCCATCTTTACGTACGTTTCGTCATCCATGAGGATGCATCCTTCGTACTTTGTAAGAACCTCATTGTACAACTTCCGGGCACGTCTTTTGACCACTAGATTCTGCTTCAGTGTCCTGTTTGGTTGCTTACTGGCCCGAAAAGATCGAAATCCTTCTCGCTGACGAACTCTTCTGACGGGGCTTTGGCTGGCATTGAATGTCTTGGCGATATCATAATCCGACAGCCCTGGGATTGCCCTAACCGTTCTCAACACCTTCAAATGAAGCAACTACGACGCTTGCTATGATCCTACCGATCAATATTAAGCCCTTCACGTAAACGTTTGAGACCACTACACATGGTCGATTAAGCCAATTTAATCGACTTCGCGATTTTTTAACCTGACCACGTCGGATTTTCCAAGTGGGTGTGTAAAATTAATTTTCAGTTTCGCGGCTTCCATCAAGTATAACTTCTTTTAAACAAAAGGAATCGCGACGAACTTTTCAGCACTGAAAGAGGAAACATTCCAAAACAAACTGCTGTCAAAGTATTCCAGATCCGACCACTAGGTGCACTGCAGTAAAATAAACAGTGTGTCCAGATATGGAATGACTCAAGCTTTAATATAATGATGATGATGGTCCCACCGCTTACGCCTACAAAGGTTTAAGTTGGACAATTTATGTTTAAAATAATTAAGGTTTGGATAAAAAAAAATCAAACTGAATACAACTACACTGCCAGTAATCGCAAGTCAGTCCCATCTGCATTTTTTTTTAAATTTTGGGTTAGCATCATCATTCAGTTTATCTTTCTATGTTTTTTTAGATGTGCTATGGAAAAAAAGGTGGTTTGTTCAAGAAAAATGAAAAACAATACCAAGTCGAACTGGGCCACAGCAAAAAGTAACCGCAAGTCAGTCTTATTAGAAAAAAAATATGTTAGAAATGTTAGACAACACATCGCATCATGAGATTTGTCTCAAGACAGATGTTGTCCACTTCCCCTAGGGTATCTGGAACATGTTCGGATGTGGCCAATATAGTTCTTACTGAAGTAATGAAATTGGGTTGTTGGCGGAATGCTTAAATAAAACACCAAAAAAGGTTATCTTCCATTCAATTCCACTTAATTAATTTTGGTATCCATGACAGATACGTACGTTCTTACGATACTCAGTTTGACTCTCAGCTTTTATTGGCGAGAAATTGACGGCTAAAGCCATTATTTACAAAAGAATTTACGCTCCTTTGAAATGTTGGCACTGAATTTACCAAAACTGCTCGACAATACCATTGTTTAACAATACTAGATAGAGCTAGCTATTTGTATGATAATTGGTGCAAATTGAAATTTGAAAATCTTTTTTTTTATGGTGTTGTACGAAGATATTGATACTAGAAATGGGGTTTGTCATTGGCGTAGATAGAAAATTTATTTGGAGGGCGCCTAGTTGCATTTGTTTTTATTTTGCAAAAATACGGTTAAATAAATACACACGAAGATGCTATTCATTTAAATTGCGTCAAGGCGACTTGATTTTGGGTACATTTTTTCTGTGACCAATAAAATGACATTGAGGCTACTATTTTAATGGTGAAACAATAAATTTCATTATATTTATTTTATAACAACTATTGGGAGAGCCTTGAAAGCTTACTGATTTTGAAGAAGCCATGATCGTTTGCACATGCTCTTTGTAATAAGTATCTCAAACTTAAGAAAATTCTCAGAGTTAGGTAATGAATGAATATTGTAACCAGCTTTTTTTCTTTTATTTTGCATATATACTCATCTGTTAAATCTCAAACATAGGAACCAAAATTAAATTATAGAAGTTTGAATTTTATAATTTCTAAAATTATGGCTTTGAAACATGGTGAAGTGCACACAGAATAAATTTCGTACATTTAGGACTTAGGAAAATGTTCAAAATGAACAATTCTTAACATTCTGAATCTTAAAATAAAAATAGTTTTGAGATCCTAAATCCATATGTTTTCAAGATTTTATAACTAATAAAAAAGGATATTTCTGAAAAAACGTAATTGTACAGATTGTAAATACAAATTTTTGGAATACAAATATATATGAAAATCAATGATATTAGATCAATTGTCATAACTCTAAGCCTAAGATAAAATTACAAGATCCTTCCTAGACATGATTTCATAAAAAATGTAGTACATAAATATCAAGAACAAATCAAATAAGAATTTCAATCATTATAATATGTTTGACCCAATCCACAAAATAAATATGCCTGAAAAAAAAATCGACGAAATGTTATTCAAAATAAATTTTCGATGCATCGGAGTAAGTCGAGGACTAAGTAACATTCGGAGTTATATATAAAATCAAAACATAACTTTAATTCTAATCGAAAGGAATGAACTAGAAACATGAATGATCGTGTCCCTGTTTGTAACTAGATTGTAATTGAATTTATTTCTACAAAAGCATTGGGATATTTTATTTTATTTAAATGTAGTTAGTTTTGGTAAAACCCATTCGGTTCCAATTTACTGTTCACATGTGCTCTATAGGGTAAGAGCATTTTCAGTGTTTTAATTTCTTTAATAAAAACACCCACACGCACACGCACACACACATACACACACACACAC